TGTCATTTCTAGGCTTATAGATGCATCCCTGTTCTGTCCTCACATGGCTATCTTCCTCCAAGGACACCACCACATTGGACTTGGAGCTCTGCCCATTAGAGTATGGCTTCATCTTTTGTTGTTGTTATTGTTAACATTTATCTATATCTACCATCTATCTACCTACCTATCGATATCTATGTATCTATGTATCTATCTATCTGTGGGTCCATGACCTGAACTGTGGTGAGCTATGTGGGAATCTACCACCCCAACCACCATGCCACCTCCTGGCCCCTAGTGTATAATAATTTACATCTACCATGTCTCTATTTCCAAATAACGTCACATTCTGAAGTACCAGAGTTAGGACACTCTTTAATAGGGACATTTATCATTTTGTTGTTGATTTGTAAGATGTTTAAATATACTCTGAACATTAAACCCTTACAGGTATACGATTTGATAATTTTCAATATTTTTCTATGGGCTTTCTTTTCATTCTCTTGCTAGTTTTTTGGTACACACAAGTTAATTTGATGAAGTCTAATTTACTCGTTTTTGATGCTGATGCTTGTGTCTTGTGTAGCACTCAGTACATTCTTTTAATGAGTGTTCTAAGAAACCACTGCCAAACCCAAGGCCACAGAGCTTTATACCTGTCTCCTTCTACAAGTTTTAAATTTCAGCCCTTAGGTCTGGGACCCATTTTCAAGTTCCTTTTTGTATGTGATGTGAGGTAAGGTTCCAACTTCCTTCTCTGCATGTGGAAGCACCGTTGTGTAAGCATCCTTTGTTGAAAAAATATTCTTTCTCCAGTGAATGGTCTCGGCACTCTTGCTGAAAATCAACGAGTAAGAGATGATGGGCCTGTTTTTAGATTCTCAATAATGAATGTGCCTACCCTTACGCCAGTACCTTTTCTGTCTGTACTTTTAAACGGGATGTTCTGAACAGTTAACGTGGCGACTCTGGGAACTGGATTCTGCACCGTTGTCATCCCTGCTGGTTGCAGACTACGGATGATTGAAGTTGTCTAGTGACTTACCCAAACCAGCTTTGTAAACACTGTCTTCTGCCACACGTGGCCTGTAACCTATCTATTCCAAGAGCTTGGAGGTCAGCTATTTCAATAGATTGGCAGGCTTGTTTTAAATGTTGGGAGGAAAAATAACAAAAATATTCTCCCCCTGACCTGGGCAAATTGGCTCCATCTTGGGGCACTCTTTCAGCACCTGTGTGGGCTATTTACGACCACTGTAGTCTACACCACTGGGGCTGGGTGTAAAGATAATCAAGAGGTGAGCGCTTAGACGCTTCACTTTCTGAGCGCGACCTTGCCCTGAGCATGTGCACATTCTTCCGGAGTTCCTGTTACACGTGGGACTTCTAAAAAGCCTTGTCCTCCGCCTCCCCTCAGCTCTCCCTCCCAGGCTCTCAACGCTCTCTATTGCTTCTCAACTGTGTCTCTGCCCCAGAGGCTTCCTCAATGTTTCGAAGAAATCACTCTCTGCATAGATATTTTTCACCTTGGGCAACTTCAGTTACCCCTAGCCTGGTCAAAGTAAACATTATTTATTGGGGTGAGGTCTACTCTGCGCCCTCCAGAACCAGGCCACAGGCTGCCGTCTTCACGGGCACTCCTGACTGGTGAGGACAGCCAAGTGCAAAACTCCGTAACATTATCCTACTGGGTTTCAGTTGTTCTTATTTAGGCAACTGTGGTAAGCTTTTGGCTATTTTCCAGACTCCCAAGAAAATTAATTCTGATAGTTCCTGCCAGTTTGCTCAGCGATTCTTTAAAAGGGTGTGTCCCTGGCGTTCCTGCTCTCCTTTCTGATGACACAGGTGCGTAATTAATGCAGATGCACCCACATCTGGGTGAATGTGACATCACTGCCCTCTTATAGTCGGGAATGAGATGCTTTATTGGAACTCAGTATCAGAATGAAACTCTTTATGTGGCGTGAATATACAGTATTTCAGACATAGAGATAGAAGCAGTATGGAGAAATCACTAAGTGACAGACACTCGGGAAGTATAAGAGGAGTCTGGGGGCGAATGGCTCTGTCCCCTTTGAGTTGACCAGCTGCGGTGCTTGCCTTTCTCCGCTATGAGGAAGTGCTATTAGGTATTTATCGGTTTGACCCAACATATTTTCCAGCTGGAGTATGAAGGGACCTTGCTTTAGTATTTCAGACTTAGTGAGTCCTGTGGACTCTGAAAAACCATTAACCTCCAAGAGTCCGATCAAATATTTTGTCCCTAGATGCTCTAGTTGATGTGTTTACCTGTCGCCAGTCATTAAAACACAATGTTTAATGTCACTGATCGTAAAATAATGATGACACGTCATGCCTTCTTTGGAACAGCCACTCCTCCCATGTGCCCTGAGAGAGGTTCTTACAACAAGAAGAGAGGGAATACTTGTCAATCTTTATGGTTACAGCAAGCTCTCATCTCCCGAAATCACCATGCCTGATGCACTGTAATTGACGAGGGAGATCGCTTTCTGTGTAAAGGAAAATTACCGTAAGCACACAATACTACTGGGCTTACTCACGTGAATACGTAATGCAAGGAGCAGTATTCGGAGCCAACAGAGCAAGTCAATCACCTATTATTATAAAGTAAGTCTTTTAGACGGGATTTTATATTAGAATTCTCTCCACCAGAATAGAAAAGTCATTTTTTAAAACTGTAACTGGAGATTGTTAAACATATAATCAATTTTTTAGAGGTTTTAATACGGTGAATTTGGCTAAAGGTGACATTGAAGGATATAACTTACCAGTTAAAAATTACTCAATTCTAATTGTTTAGCAAAGGTAACGACATATTAGGTATGCGATTTTCTGCATGCTATGTTCTGTATGCAAATGATATTTGAGCAACTCTTGATACATTCTAGTAACGACTTAGGCTGAAGCCGTTTTCTCCACTCTAGAGTTACATCCCTAACGCCACAACCATCTACAGAGAAGCCAAAGCTTTGCACACTGTTAAATTCTGAAAAAAAGTTAAGTTTTTATCATTGCAATGATTTTTAATGTTGAGAAGAAATTACAAAATACAGGCTAGAGGGCCAGGATGTGGTACATGGCTACAGCACTAGAACCCTGCATGGCCTGCTGCAGATTTAAGTTTCAGACCTGGAGGCTTGAAATTATGTGGGGTGTGTGCGTGTGCATGCCCCAAATCCCAAGAGGTGAATGGAGGAAAAGGGACAGTGGCATGGCCATCCTCTCTCGGGGTTAACTCCTTACTTTCTCTTTCTTTGTGTGTCTGTCTCTAGGAAGTACATAGGCCCTGTGGCAAAATTTTTAAAAGAATTAAAAATGCTTACACACACGAAAACGTTTAATGATACGGGCTAGGTAAGTACTCCTTCCCTCAGTCGTAGTGTCCGAGAATGGCTTGGCTTTGGATGTAATTAAACTACTAAGCTGTACTTACACAAAGATTGGGTATGTTTTGTCAGTATCATTTAAATCAATTGCATTTTAACTGGAAGATACCGATTTTGAGAGTTAAGGGGGCAAAGTAATTATAATTAACATGTTTATTACTTGAAAATTTGGCCTCAGATTCCTTTTGTAGTCTCTGAAGTTTAGAATGAAGTTCAAAGAATGTAACATGAGTCAAGGATTTAAGCATTGCCTGTTAAGTGCTGCTAGCAATAGGAATCACTGAGTGATTCGCTCATTCCAGAATAACTAATTTTTTATTCAGATTCCAGGAGAGAGGCTTTGAAAGCAAGCTGTTTCCATAAACTCAAAAAGAAAGTGAGTTTGACTGGAGCTTATGATTATGCTCACCTGCTGCTGTTCTCTGAGTGCCATTTATAATATGAAATTTATTAATCTCTGGACAGAAATACAGAAAATCATGTTATTTTAAAGAACAGATGTGGAAATACGTGATACGGTTAATATAGTCCTGAATTATTGTGTGATTTTCAGTGATTACTATAATGTTTTGAAAAGACAGCTTCACCCATCTAGCACTCATTACCCTGAAATGGAACTCGATAAACAAGTCCTGGTAGGTGTTTACATTTCCTGTTCTTCACTGAAATTCACAGGTACAGAACAGGTGAACTCAGCGGGTATGCACCTCTTTCCTGCTTGAGACGATGACAGGTGGACATCTCAATGCACAAAATGTACCATGGCCTACAGTTCAGATCGAAAGGAAAGTTAGAATAGTTAAGTCTTAACCAAAGAGAAAAAGAAAAATCTTACTGAACTGACTAAAGGACTGTTTGTCCAAATCCATCTTTGAGTAGCAACACAGAGCACAAAGATCCAGGTTTGAAACCTGGGAGCCCATGATGACCACGATGTTTAATTATTTTTGCACTCAGCTTCTATAACATCTACACGTCACATAAAATCAACACTTCCCACCTACTTTACAAGGATGGTATGAGAACAGATACTGTAACCTGTGTGATGTGAAAGCGCTTTATAAACCACAACAGGATACAAAGACGGTGTGATTACACTCTGCTCGGTTTTCAAGGAAGCTTCACGGAGTGACTCACTCCTCCCAGGGTAACTGATCTACTCGGACTCAGGGACGGGGGTTTTGCTAGCAAGCGGCTTCCATAAAGTTGAGAAAGAGAGTGAGTCTGGCTGGATCTTAGAAATCCAAATTTCGGAACCCCAGTTCTAAAGTTGGATAAACAGTACTTCCTAGCTGCAGTGTGCTCTTCCATGGCTTGCCTTAGGGGAATGCGGACTTAGTGCATGTCTGCTTCAGATTTAGCTCTCTGAAGAAACTCTTCTTCCTAGATTAGGCATCCACTTTATACACACTGTTCTTCCACCTCTCTGTCCTAAATACCATTATCGAGTGATGATTAATAAGAACAAAACACTATTTGTAACAGTGCACGTCCTTTATAACTGTAACTGCAGTAAGTATAATTTTCAGTACACGACATTTTCATGCATATGCTTTATCCCTGTACAATACTGAGCATTCTTTAACATACATTTGATAGGTTTCCTTTACTAACATTGCGGTTTCCTTTACTAATGAGTGAACAGTTCTAAAACATACATTTATAATCACATTGTCATTTATTTCAATCTTGTGGCATACACTGAATATAATATGCTTGAAAACACTTTGATGTTTCTTTTGTAGACTATTAAATGTTACCATCCATTTCTATAAATTAAATTTACTAGGAAAACCCACAGTTTAAAAAAGTATACAAGACTTAACTAGCTTATCACAATCGACAAAAAAAAAAAAAAATCAATGTAAGAATTTAAAATAGTGTAATATCAGGAACAGTTTATCTTCATGGTAAACATTCACTTTATGCAAATCCCACTTGGCTTCATTTAATTAAAAAGCTGAAAAAGAAAGAAAATTATTATGTGCTGAACATAAAGAATACACAGTATCTGTTTTACTCTATTCCAAATTAGTACATTTAAATATAGAAATGCAGTAACTATTCATTCACCTAGTTGTGATTTCTGTACAGGGCAATGTTTCTAACTTGTCCCGATAATGGGGTCTGTTTCTGTTGAGGACAGAGTCAGGGCTGAGACAAGATCTGATCATGTGAATTTCTGGTATTTAAGTTTACATTCACACCTCTCTTTGTGGCTAGAGCAATGGTTAAATCACCAAACAAAATGCTAATGTAAAAGAAACAGAGGAAATGGGTTGAAACAAATATTGGAAATCCACTCATCAGGATATCCGAGAAAATGTTTTCCTTATCATCGAATCCATATTCATTTACATACATAAAAAGAGTTACTTAAGTGCTCTGTTTTCTGTTAATGTAATTTACGATTTTGTTCCACTGGACAGCCAAAAAAAAAGAATGTACACACGAATCGTAACAAAATGGCCATCGGGTTCTGATGGAACATTAGCGTATAGAGATACATGTACACACAGAAATAAAACGGAAAGTAAAAGGTAACGATTTCGCTTTCAGAATTTCCCTAAGCAAAGCTTTAACTGATAAACAGAAATATATTTAACTTTGTGAGATATTCAGTTTAATAACATTTACTGTGCTTTCGCTTGCCGTTTCTATCTTTCCGCTAACACGTGGCATGCTCTTTTCTTTTTGGTTCTCGACAACATGGACAAATTGCAAGATAACCAGAGACAAAACAATTTTAATGTTTAAGTATTAAAGCAAACAGGAAAAATACTTGGCTCATGTAATTGAAAAACCATGTAGCTGGAACACTTCAAACTAGCAAGGTTAATATTTGGATGTTGAAATTAGAATATTCTAGGCATACGTTGCTTCCCTTCTGAACCTCGGTTTCCTCATTAGTGAAAAGAATGCTTGTTTTGGATAGCTTCCAAAGTTCTTTGCAGTGCCAATATTTTACGATTCTGGAGATACTATGTGCTAAAAGGAAATATGTATTTTAAATTACATAAAATTTTTATACTAAAGCATTATATAACACGCATTATATTACATACTTTTGTTATATCTGTTAACTACATACCTATGTGTGTATATATATGTGTGTGTGTGTGTGTGTACAAATATAATATGTATTTGAAATATATATTGGGACCAGCAGTTAGTGTAATGGCTATGTCACTGGACTCCCATGTAGTTGACTGTGGTTCGAGGCCCAGATCCGGTGGCTTAAATTCATGCCAGGTGCGTGTGCATGCGTGACCAGGATCCCGAGAAGAGAATGGAGGAGAAGGGATTGCGGCGTGGCGATTCCCCCTGGGGGGTGATTTCTTGCTTCCTGTCTCTCTGTTTTTCTGGCTAGCACACGTGCCCTGTAGCAAAACCTCTCCAAAAAATAAATTAATTAAAAAAAAGAAATATATGAATGCTACATATCAGGCTTTTGAAAAAGTCATGATCTATTTTTCTATGTTTCTCTATCAAAAATGCGTCATGACTTTTGCAATGACTCGGTATTATATAGTATAAATTAAAATAGGAGATAAGTAGTTATACAATATAAACCAAAAGGGTCATGTATCCGTTTCTGAGGAACTGTTAGATGAAAAGACAGAAACTGCACTACTCTCAGGAGGCAATCAGACGTTGCTTTTACTTTTCGAGAAAACCAGCTGTGGCGGAGGAACCACAGCAGTGGCCATGTCGGCGGGGGTGGGGTGGGTGGGGGGGGAATGTGGCAGTGAGCCTCGTCACAGCGTGACACTGCGGCTCCTGTTCAGTCCACACCATCCTCAACGGCACCAGTGACAACCCAGGTGGACGTGCAGCTGCGAGATGTGGCCTCGGGCCTTTCCTGTCTGCAGTTACAAGCATGCCCTGAAGGGGCATGAATAAGGGTTAACCCTGATGAATAAGGGTTAATGGAAAAAGAAACCTTGATCAGAAAGTATTTTAAAACTAGAGTTGGCAAAATTGAAACTGAGGATTTGTAGGATCTTTTGTTTTGTTTTTGTTTTTAGACTGATCTCAAAATTTCAAGTTACGGAACTCTAAAGTTAACCTTTCATTATGGCCATGCAGATTACCACCATAAAAACAAAAAACAGTAATGTTCATTCCTTCTAATTTTTTTTTATAGATAGGAAGATTCTGATATTGAGGTGCTGTTACATTTAAAGAGTAAAAAGATCTTGTGTAATTTCTTAATACAAAAAGAAACCAAGAATCCTTAGTTACTATGCTTTTGTTCATTCTTTAGGTCTTTCCATACTTAAATACTTAGTAATTATTGAAAAAATTTGTTATCACAGTCACTTGTTTTTATCTCATTATAGAGGGACAAGTATATGATCAACTTTCAACTGATTATTCTAGTAACTGTCCCACAATAAGGGGTACATCTGGCAAGTGGAATACTTCCTATTCTTTTATATTTAAGCTGATCCTTTTCATAAAAAAAATAATAATAAGTTATAAAAACTTCCAAGCATTTGTTCAAGACACCAAAAAGACTTGCTGGGTGAAAATGTTAAAAGGTTTTGTTAGTTAAAATGCTTTTTAGAGAAGAATGAACTGTTATTCTCTAGGTAATCTTTCAGAATTTCAAGTCTGATTTTTATTTTCATTATGTAAATATTAAATTTGCAAGATGTGTTCCAATACGAATGTTTTATATTAATATTATCACTCAAGGGGTTGGTTTCTCATTTCTATTTCTCAGGGTCTGACATGTCTTTTTTCTTTTCACATTTACCTGTCCAATAACTGTGATATATAGTCTAACAGTATAACTAACAGTCCTTACAGACTGATGCTCCCAAAAGGGCCTGGATGTTATTTCTCCTAATAATGCTTATCACAAAAATGTGTAAATGCTGTCGTATGGTTCGTGAAGCAGCTGTCGAGGATACTGAAATCTGAATGTGTTTTACGAGTGCCGTTCAGAGTGGCAGTCTGCTTCCCGGGAGTGTGAGCAGCTGTCTTGGTACCACCATTTACTTTTGTCTGAACTCGGCTCTCGCCGTGAACGAGCACCACAGTAAGCAGCAGTAGTTGGCACATGCCTGACGCTGGTCCCCACCACCTGCTTATTCTCAAGTGCAAATATGAAGGGTCCGCATCAACTCAAGGAGCGTGAAAGATGAAATGTGCAAGCTCGCTGGTGAGGGCAGTGAATGGTGTTAGACGAGGGTTAGACAAGGCAGACCCAGCACAAACAGGCCTCCGACGCTCCCTCATCCCCTAGTATAAATGGGTACAACTACTCCCTCTAGTTTGTGTAACATTTTTTGGGATAAAAACGCAGTGTTTAACTTGCTGAAGAGTGATATTACAAAGTTTGTTATCAAGTTTATTATTTGAATTCAAAATAAATTTATCTTAAAAAAAGAGACTGAAAATAGTAGCTATTGTCTCAAATTTGGGTCAAAAAAGTCAGGTTCAATTAGCATTCAAAGAGATGTACGGGACATCTAGTTGCCTACAGAAACACCACACAGAAGGTGTCACGGGACGCAGAATGAATTCATGACCCTTATGTTTCTTTTATTTGAAGGAGAAAAAGATCTGGGTACGATTAAGTATGAAACAGTGATATACTTCATATGATGGAGAGTCAAAGTGTTACAGGGCCTCGAAAACAGACAAAGCCAAACTGACTTTGAGAACAAGTTAAATAAAGGAATTGCAGCCTAGACTGAAAGAGCTGAATGAAAAAAGGCACCAGAGTGTGAAAACACGTCGTCTTATTTCCAGTATCACTAAAGCAGGAGTCAGTGCCCCTCCTGTACAGAGGTGAGCGTTTGCACAGGGTGGGCCACGGGGCTTTGCAGAAATGACTCGCTGCACTGCTGTGTCTAAGAACAGCCAGAGACGGTGCCCGTGCAAATGACTCTGGCGATGCATCAATAAAATTTTATTCATGAACACGGAAATATAAATTTTGAACAATTTTATCTGCTCAAGATACTAATCTTTGTTGTTTGCAATGATTTAAAACTATAAAAAGCATTCTTAGTTTATGAGGTGCATCATTCTTTATGGGGCACACTGAACCCTAAGAAGAGCAAAATGGGGCCAAATTTAAGTAATGTTTTATGGTGATTCACACAATGGTATTATGTCATAGTTTGTCAATTCATATGTAGTGGAAGAATAGTTACAGATACTGAAATATGCTCAGGATGTATAGAAAAATAGGCATCATGTAACTCCTCCCTAGATTCAAAATATATAAAAGCTACACTGTTAACATTTGATAACTTGGGTTTTGGGATTATGAGTGAATTTTATTTCTTCATTTTGTCATCTGTATTTTCTAGAATGAACTATGAGCAACAAGCCTGCTCTTGCTTGTTAGCTACTCATGAATTTTGATGAAGAAGCAACATAATCAATGCATATGTTCAAATAATATCTGTCATTACCGTAGAATAAATAATGGATTATGAAGGAATGATAACTATACATTGAGAGTTAAGCTAGGTGGTTAGGTGATTCTGTGGAAGATATAATATACTGGGTTGTCAGAACAGTCTTGATGCATTTTTATATAGAGAAACAGAAAAATACATGACTCTTCCGACAACATAATGCATAAGCTAAGATAGCAGTGGGAATACAACAGTGATAGAGACTAAGTCAAATAACACCCAAGGAGAATGTGGGACTAGACGAAATGACTCCAGAAATGTCTTCTATGATTGTAAGAACAACAGTGTCTAAGGGAGAGTGGGGAGAACAGGAAACAGGTTTGGAGGCAGAAAAAACACTGATTTTGGAAATGCTGAAGGAGAGCTCTGAGTGTGGTATTCAGGATCCTGGATCTCAGGACAAAGGCCAGGACTGGATATGCACATTTAGGACTGAGGAGTAATTTGAAAGAAAAGAAGGAAGGTTTGAGCATGCCTCTTAGGAAACCCAATCTACAAAGTCTCAAAGGACTGGGCAACA